TATGTGTGTGTGTGTGTGTGTGTGTGTGTGTGTGTGTGTGTGTGCGTGTGTGTGTGTGTGTGTGTGTATTATATGTATGAGTGTGTGCGTGTGTGTGTGTTTGATACGAATATATACATAACACTGAACCCCTCTATTAAGCACGCCGCGATAAGCCCGGTCGCTTTGTAAGTTGATGTACTACTAAATAGACCGCAATTATCAGACTACTAAAACCATTATAGAAGTACGCTACGGCACAATATGAACATTCATGACTATACTATATTCCAATTTTAAACTTACAGTACAACATAAATCGTACTAGAATACAATACGTTCTTCAATGCAATACATGCTTCCATACCTTACTATCACAATACAACACTATCACAACACACTACATACTCAAACACAATACATATTCCAACAAGCTACAATACATACCGCACTGGTCAACTTCTGGTCGAGTATCACGTTAATTGCGTTCACTCCGAAGAACAACTTCTCCATCTCCCCCTCGTAGAACATAGTTTTATAAACTGTGGACTCCTCAATAATCAGTTGCTGTGATTTGGCAGAGTCTAGTTTATCGAGGTCGACTTGCCCGATTTTGAGCTTGATTACAGTTGTGGAATCCCTCATATTTGCATTTGTGCAAGAACGGAAGGAAGACTATTGAGAAATATTTATCAGGTTGGACCAATATAAGATATATATATCTTGAAACGCTTCACGTCTTGCGCAAACCACTATAGTTTTTATCATTCGTGATTCGTATGTATGTATATATGTATTTACGTATAGTTGTGCCGAATTTCCAGGCAAATTTGTAGTACTAAAATACCTTACAAGCACATTTACCCATAAGATAAATTGATGTATTATAGTCATACAATATAGGGCAATATGAGCATACTCGGTTTTATTAAAATACAGTATATATTGTCGTAGTTATAAACCGAAGTCACGTCACGCGATTACCCCAGTATACTGCTAACTGCATGCAAGGGAAGATTAGCCAAGACTCACAGGAGGTGACGTGAATGTGGTGCATATACTTTCGCCAATCGAATGAACATCTTTACTAATTCAGTCCACGATCGACCTCAGATCTTGCTCTACTCGGGGAAGTGTATTTATAAAAAAATATTACTTGACCACTTTTACTTTGGGTTGAAACGTGTATTTTTAAACGACGAATAAAAGGAGATGTGTTAACGTTAAACGCTTATGTCGTGAAGGCCCTATGGTAGTCACTATGGGTGCATATTCGGAGACCTGAGGGCTGAGGTGCAAAATTCTTTAAATGAATATATTCCTATGACCTATGGTGTCCGCTTAGTTCGCATAGCTACAATGCTATTATTATTTTCTTTTGACCCGTATAAATGTTTTAAAGCCTACAAGTACATCGTCTTTTTTCGGAGAGGCTCTGTATGACAAATCGAGTAAATATTTATTATAGAAAATTTACGTTTAAATTAATTTAAAATATTTTTGTCCCCTTTTTTTAAGAAAAAAAGGATATAGTAGAGGGCTATGGTTTAGCTTTAAAAAACGGCCCTGACCATGGCTCATCACTTCATATTATTTGTATCAGAGTCAAAGGTTTTTGTTGGTAGTGAATAAACTGGGTTTGGAGTTCATTCAAGATGATTCGAAACTTCTGAACTTCAAGGAGCACCGACTGTTTACCAAAAACCCTGTGTTTACTGACTCTAATAGTGAGAATCTCCTACTCTCGGCCCTCGGGATCTCAAACCTCTGCTCGAGTCTTGAGGACTCCCCCTCCAGGGGCCTACTCTAGTAGAGAGTAGACTCAGTCTCAGAGTGGCACTGTATTCCAGCCAGGAGTCCAGGACTCTCTCTGGACGTCCAGGACTCCAGGGTCCAAGAGATCAGGACTCTCAGAGTCTCAGCCTCACAATAGTTCGTCTATTTGTATTTTTACATTTTATAATTGTACACACACGACACAGTTCACACAGAACATATACGAATATATAAATACAAAGCCAGCAGGACGCAGGCCAGCTGGTTGATGGTTCTGAATCTGAGGTTCTCGGACTCTCGGTATTTACATACGTAGTCAGTTCAGCCGTTCAGAGCTGTCGCCTTACGGCTTACAGACTCCCGCCAGTCCGCCACTCTACAATGTAATAGTAGAGATTAGAGAGCGACTCCGCCCCAGTGCACCACATGTGTGATGACGATGAATTGATGTGATACTCTTGAGACTAGTTGAGAGTCACTGTCTCAGAGCCTCCAGTTTCACCGTAAAAGTTTCATCCAAAAATATATCAACCAGGTTTATTCATTGTGTATTTATAAGTTTGATTTTGTTTTTTTAAACAAAAACAAGTTCCTTTTTTTTGTGTGAGTGTTTAAAAATATATCACCGATTTTTGTCCGTTCCATAAAATTTGTCCGGAACGTTTTTTGCCTATTTGTAGACCCCCTTGGAGTCCTCGTTGAAGTTCACGAAATAAATTCTACATTTTTAGAAATATTATATTCCCCCTGGGGCCTGGGTCCCTGGGTCCCTGAGTCTCAATGAGGTTCCCACTCCCCAAGAGGGCCAAGAGCAAGAACATCTCCTTTCTTTCTTTTTTGTTGAAAACATAAATGTGGATATGGACAAATGAATTACCCCAATGAATATACGCTTTCAGTCCCCACGAGACAAATGGTGGTGCAACAACCCTAGAACCTTAAAACCCTAAAAGTATCAGATCCATGAAAATATAACAATATAATTTATCTTATTCCATCTGGTGATATTTTAACGCATGACGACATCACTTATACCATCGGAGTACACGTGCACCTTTTTTTTAGAAACGAAACCGAAACATCGAAATCATCATAGTTAGCAAATAAATATGCGGCTATTATTTGGTATGATTTAATTCAAACTATACTATACTATACTATATATTATACTGACTACTCACTTGCAGAAGCATATACAGTGCACACATATTGTCGAATCTCGAGTTAATATAACGAGTATGGTACACGCAGAGGCCGACTCGGGTGCGGGTAAACACGCATACAGCAACAAAAAGAAAAAGGAGAAGAAGCGTCAAAAAGAAAAGGATGCAGGTATCAAAGTTGAGCGAACGAGTCAGTTCGTCGATGGGGCTACATTGGACTACTGGCGTCAGGTATGAATACGTCTACATTAAGATTTTTGTTTGAATTTTTGATGTGTCTTCAGTATGTGGATGTATGTTTGATGTACCATTACGTGCGCACAAAACTAAATATTTATATTTATATGTATATATATATGTGTGTGTGTGTGTGTGTATGTGTGTGTGTGTATATATGTGTGTGCGTATAGTTTATATATATATAAATGTGTGTGTGTATGGTTTATATATATATATGTGTGTGAATGTATGTATTTATGTATATATATATATGTGTGTGTGTGTGTGTATATGTATGTATGTATGTATGCATACATATATATATATCTATATGTATATCTATATATATAGGTTTACGTATACATATACCAATAAACATACATATACATGTACATATATATATAGTAGGTATATATAAGTGTGTATGTATATATATATATCTATATATATGCGTGTGTGTGTGTGTATGCCTGTGTCTGTGTGTTTGACTACTTATAGGTTGTCTGTGTAAGTGTCTGTGTCTGTGTCTGCCTACTATATATATATATATATTGTGTGTGTGGCTATATAGATATATATGTGCATATGTATATCTGTATATGTATTTCTTTATATATGTGTGTCTGTTGCTGTTATTATTACTGTGGCTGTCTTTGTGTGTGTATGTGTATATGTGTGTGAGTTCGTGTGTGTGCCTATGCTTCTGAAATTTATAGATCTATGCGAGCTCGTTAATGTGTACCTGTATGTATATATAGTCATCTATTTAGTCAAGAATGTGTACATATATTTATAAATTTCTGACATTTTATATGCGCATGTTTGTTTTTGCGTGTATTATTATATGTATCTACGTATGTATGTATATATATAGTAGTAGGTACCCCTATGCATGACTGTGTACATTCATGCGCGTGAAAGCAATATCTATATATATATATATATTAACAGTTGAGGCTGTCGACTACTTGCCTATGTAGTACTACAACATCATATGCTTTGTCAATATTCGTTTCTCGAAATTGCAACTGCTCCCAAATTTGTCCGTAAGTGGTGAATATGCATACCTGTCTGTCCTTTCAGCATCATAAGTACAGTTAATTATTGTGTTTATTTCTCTGAGTTTGGCTGTATCCAATACTGGGCGTTAACTGTAAACATCTTCATACAGGGTGTCCTTCTGTCCCGTGAGACTTTATCGCTCAAATACACCGCTGATTTTACTATCCATCTGCGTACCACAGGTTGGCTCAACCCTTGACGCGGACGAGTTCCCAGACGCAGAGGACAAGTCGATGTTTGTCTCAAACGTCTTAACCGTGGCCGATGGGTCTGAAACCCAGCTGTGTCGCGACAAGGAAATCTCCTGCATCCTCGAGAAGCTCCTGTTGAATTGCACACACTTCCAGATCCGTGTGTTCACCGACCGGCTCATGGGGCATGTCAAGGACCTGGCTGGGGATAAGTTTGCGTCACATGTCATACAGACCCTCCTGAACCTGTTGCCGGGTGTGCTACACGCCGAACTGAGCGGCGCTTCGACCGAGGGAGACGAGTCCGAGCGCGATGGCACTAGCGAGACCGAAGGCCATCTGCGCACGGGCGAGGAACTGGTGCTGGCTATCTGTGACGAACTCAAGGCGGATATTACCTACCTGTCACGCGGAGACTATGGGAGTCATGTGATCCGTGCGCTGGTGGGGCTGATGGTGGGTGGGGGGGTGCCGAACGAACTCATGCGCAGCCAGTACTCAATTGCGTTCAGCAAGTTCCAGAAGACGGAGACGCACACCATGGAGAAGGTCTTTGCGGTCCCCGGGTCCTTTGAGCCGGCCATGCATGCGCTGATACAGCCTGTGTGTGAGAACAAATACCTCACAAAAGACGCCACGCACACCACCGCCAGTGGGGTGCTACAGGTGTTGCTGGCGGCGTTGCATCGCACGGATGCCGCGATGTGTGAGACGCTGATTCTGCGGTTGCTAGGCAACGGGAGCGACGTGGAGACCGATGAGAACGGCGAGATGATCGAGAGCGAAGAGAAGGATGTGGACGATTTCGAGGTGGACATGGACCGAGTGACCAAATTTCTGATATACGATCAGATCGGCTCGCATGTGATGGAGCGCATCCTCAGCTGTGCCAGTGCGAAGCTGGGTTACAAGCTGTACCGAACTCTCTTCCGCGGGAGACTCGATAACCTGGGCAAGCACCCGGTGGCCAACTATGTGGTCCAGAATATGATCCGCGAAAACAAGGACCCTGTGGTGACCAGTCTGATCCTTACCGAGTTGCAGGATCAGTTTGAATCCGTGATTGCGAGTGGGTGTGTGGGCGTGGTGGTGCGGCTGGTCGAGGCCGTGGCGAAACTCGAGGACAAGAAGCTGCACAAGGCCGTGTTTTCGCATGTGATGAAAGCCTTTCACATGAACGATACGGCGCAGCAGAAGCAGTGTGTGAATCTGATCACCACACTCACCACCCATGACGCCTACTTTGAGGAGGGCAAGGACATGTCTGAGCTTCCTTTGCAGCTCAACGGTGTCTTGCTTATCCAGGCGCTGTTCACCTTGAAACCCCCGCACAACGATCTCCCGGCCGCCTCTCTACTAGACCTACCCGCAGAGCAGTTGTTGAGTCTGTGCATGCAATCGCTGGGCAGGCCGGTAGACACCTTCCTCGAGTGCACCGTGGATGTGGGCAAGAAAAATAAGCTGATGAAGCTATTAAAGGGCTCGTACGCGAAGCTGGCGATGGACAAATACGGCTCGCGAGTTGTGGATGCGTGCTGGGCCGTGGCCGATCTCAAGCTGAAGGATGTGCTGGCTGCGGAGTTGATTAAAAGCGAGGTGGCGCTCAAGAAAGATTTCTATGGGCGTGTGATATGGCGCAATTGCCGGTTGGATCATTTTAAACGGAAACGGGACGCGTGGGTGAGTAAGGTGATCGCCAACGAGCGGAAGAAGGGGATGTTTTCGGATATACTGGATGATGATACTGCCAAGGAGGGTACAGAGCCGTCTGGCAAGAACAGTAAGAGCATAAAACGCTCGCATGATGAGAGTAACAACGAGAAGGAGACGGTCAATGTGGACTTAAGTACTGAGATGGACATGGATGATATATTCGGAGAGACGGAGAAGAGTAAAAAGGCGAACAAGAAGCGTAAAGGAAAGGCTAATGAGAAGAAGGCAGCGGAGCGGGCGAAGGCGAATGCCAGTGCTACAGTAGATGTTGTAAACGAAGCGGTGGTTAGTAATGGAGAGAGTGGGAAGGGATTAGAATCTGTGGGTGTTAAATCAGAGAGCATGGATTCGGATCTGCTGGGTGTGTTGGATGCGATTAAGGGGTCCAAGGGGAAGAAGAGCAGCAAGGCTAAGAAGGAGAAGAAGGCTGGTGACAAGACGAAGTCGGTCAAGTCTAAGTTTACCATGAACTAAACACACCCGGCTGGTGAGGTATATATATATATATATATTGTACAGTGCATATTATATTTAGAAGTAACGCATAATAAAACCGAAAGAGTTAGTATACTGAACGTATGGGTGGGCAACCAATTACGTACACGACCCGAAAGTGGCATCCCACCGGAACAAAAATAAACTGGTCCAATCGAACCATCGCAAGGGTTTATAGTATGACAAATTCGATCAATGTTTCTCTCTGCAAGTCCGGAGATTCAATGAGTTTTGTTTTCGACTATTTATACTCACACAAGCTGTCTGTAGCATCAGATACGCGCGCTAAGCAAGGCTTGGTGGGTGTCGTCCCCAACCTTTACTTCCGCCAAGCAATGGTACTCCTGAGTCAAGGGGTCGTTCTGATTCACAGTTGTCACTATCTCGCCGGTGTATTTATCCCAATCCTTCGAGGATTGCTAAAGTTAATTTAATTTTGGCAAATGTCATTTTAATTAGATGTTCGGTCCTGTTTCCCACCCAATGCTACTTCTACCGTACTCGGGTGGTTTGTATGATGAGGAGGGCCCCAGTAAGTCCATCGGTCGGTTGAAACACCAGGCACATGACTGTAGTGACTCGTTAAGGTCGTGGCAATCGAAGTCAGTTAAAAATTCTGTGCCGAAACTCTCATGAAGATTCATTTTCATTACAGTAGCCATTCCACTAAACCCCTCAGTTTTGTCGTCGTATGTCATCCACAATCAAAAAGTTTACCTCGAAAACCCCGCAAGAGCACAACCATGTACAATCATGAATACGTAAAGCTACCTTGATGAATCTCTTTTAAGACTTATCTTAATTTATTTAGCTCTTAAGTTCACCTTTATCTTCGCTTTCGGTTTCCTCGTAACTCGGTGAGTCGACACTGGGGTCGGTCTGGGCTTGGGAGCACCTCTCCCATCCGATCGGGCCTACATACAGTGATGAAGCGGTGTGAGACCACATGCATATATAAACTGTAATGATATTATTGAATGTGCTCGTATATACACAAATTATATATGTATACATATTAAAAGCGCTCATAACCCTCTTTTCGAGCGAAAATGATGGCACCTGAAAGTTTTTACACCATACGTACGCCGAATGGGTGGTTAGTGGTAGATTTTGCAGTCTATGGTGACTGTACAGAATATATTTCGGCATCCGTTGCGAATTCGTACATCTGTTATGTATCTTCACATCTGTTATGTATCTCTACATCTGTTATGCATCTGTTATGTGTCTTTACATTTGCTATGTATCTTTAAATCTGCTATGTATCTCTACATCTGTCAAATATCTTTACATCTGCTACGTACCCTCGCATCTCGTACGTTTTCCGTTTTCTCGGTGTATACCAGTGGATGGGCGTGAAAACCCTACGCCATACCCATCCCACATATCAACTATAGGCGGGCCCAACTTTCAGTGCACGTCAATCCGGACTCAATTGCTACGAATATACTTATTCAACCATTTAGCCTAATACTGAGACGCACATAACTTGGCAACATACAGCCCTACACGCTGCTGCGACGTGAAAGGGGGGCAGCTATTCACATACATGGAAGGGGTGCAGTACACAAGCTATTCACATACAAGGAAGGGCTGTAGTCCACAAGCTATTCACAAACATGGAAGGGGTGGAGTACAAAAGCTATTCACATACATGGAAGGGCTGTAGTCCACAAGCTATTCACATACATGGAAGGGGTGCAGTGCAGTACACAAGCTATTCACATACATGAAAGGGGTGCAGTACACAAGCTATTCACATACATGAAAGGGGTGCAGTACACAAGCTATTCACATACATGGAAGGGCTGTAGTCCACAAGCTATTCGCATACATGGAAGGGGTGCAGTACACAAGCTATTCACATACATGGAAGGGGTACAGTACACAAGCTATCCACATACATGGAAGGGCTGTAGTCCACAAGCTATTCACTTACATGGAAGGGGTGCAGTACACAAGCTATTCACATACATGGAAGGGGTGCAGTACACATCGGCGGGGCGAACAACTTCAGCGACTTATATGACAGCATGCAAGTGCCAAATGAAGGCACGCCGACATGTTAATTGGCATTATGGATGATATATTCTATGCCCTGTGACGCACACTCTCGTAATGAGAGGAAATCCATTAAAACACCCTAATAAGTATGCTACTACATAATTAATCCACCCTTCCCCAACATTAATGGCAATATAGTTATCAAAATGTGCTTGTACAATTAACTTAACACTTATTCGAAGATGCTGTCTTCGAAACGCTCGTCTAACTAACTAACACTATATTTGACCATACCGTAGAAGTAACACATGAAGATGCAAGTGCCACTCTACCATAATGTATAGCACTTCGAAAATTTCATGGACTTCAGCTAGGTCTATTTCAGATACACTTGATCAGAATACGTGCACTATAAGTAGAAGTAACACACGAAGATGCAAGCGCCACTCTGCCATAATGTATAGCACTTTGACAATGTCATACACTTAACTAGGTATGCTACACACATGACTAGGTATGCTACACACATGACTAGGTATATTTCACACACACTTGAACAGAATAATCACACTATAACTAGATATACCATACACTTACCTAAATATATTTCAGATACACTTGACAGAATACGTGCACTATAAGTAGAAGTAACACATGAAGATTCAAGTACCACTCTATCATAATGTATAGCACTTTGAAAATGTCCTACACTTAACTAGATCTATTTCATATACACTTGAACAGAATACTTACACTATAACTAGGCCGGCCCAACGGAGGAGTCGCGGTATCCGAGTGATCAGATGTCACAATCTTCAGCTGGAGTGCATGGGGTGTGCGAGGGATCTGCACCGCAAAATGAGAGCAGACGGACAACGTATGAGCAGACGGGCAAAGTGAGCGCAGGTTAGCGAAGTAAGTGAAGATGAGAAAATCAAGAGCAGATGAACAATCAAAACAGGAGCAGATGAGCAGAGTAAGAGCAGATGAACAAGCCAAACAGGAGCTGATGAGCAGAGTAAGAGCAGATGAGCAAGAATACGGAGACTCATTTGAAGCTGTGAGAAGCACGCGATGGCGCGTGCTTGTTGGTGGTATGAGCCTGCTTGGGGCCATTCCACTCCGAAAAAAAAACTGGCTAGATAGCAAGGACACAGAATAAGGAGTTAGAGATGCAGACCCTGAGAGATGTACTACACGCTAAATTCGTATTATTGGCATCGTAAACTTTCCCAGATACGTGCTTGTTAAAACGATCGAGTCAGAACGGGTAGTGTCATATACATGCATACACCCCTACATGTGACATCTGCTCAGTACAATCAATGAATATGCATGGGTCCAAAAGTAGGCACGTAGGCGTACAGACGCACGCAGAGTCAATCTGGCACGGTATGATACCATGACCGTCATATCGCATACAAAAGTGAAGTGCGAAGCCGTACCTTGAACACCATGGGATGGAACGCACACTTTGTCAAGTCAATCCCTTTGAAGTGGTTCATGCCCAGAGGTGCCACGTCTCTGTAGGAAGGGCCGCTCAGACCTTTGTATTTGACCACAAATTGGTACAGTGACAGCCCCAGGGGCTCCCCAAACACTCTGTATTGGTGCTGGTACCAGCGTGTGAGTGGGCAAAGGTGATAGGGCGTAAGCTGATGCAAATTCGTGATTTGCGTGGATAATCATAATCTACTTCATTCACACTGTTGTGCCATAGCGAGCATCTGGTACAACTAACTGTATATACTGAAAACGCTGCCAGATATGGTACTCGGTTGCTGACATTCGACAAGTTAAACATGTCAACGACTACTCGAGCGTTCCTAATAATATAAACGTCGAATTACGCTTATTAGTGCACAGATACACATATGAGTTGCGTCAAGTTCTTGCACTCACTTGTACTACAGCGGTCTCGCACTTACATCTAGGATCCTAGCGCCAATCCAAGCGTCCTGCGCTGCGTAATAGACCTGTCGCTCGCTGAGGTCAGCCTTCTACTGGCCAAAATAATGAGCAATGGGTGAAAATTATCAGAAAAAGCTTGCAAATGCGCAGCTAGATGAACCTGATTTAGGCATAAATGGGTGCAGAGATACGCGTATGCCAATTTAGGTGATGTTTTATGGAGAAATAAACTTTAGATCGGCTTATGAAAGGGCGAGAAAATTAGTTATGAATGCTTAGGGGTGCAAGTCCCACGTGCGGTGTTATATTCCCGATATTTTGATCACACGCGCTGATGTTAATACAATCTAACATTGCTGATGCAACTCGATGCGGCCTTCTGCAAGTAAGCGCCCTACATAGATATAGCGCAAATGAAATATTTGCAGTCACCGTAAAAAACCCATGGCACAGAAAAAACTTGAATCGAGAAGAATGATCAATACACTGATAACAATTGTGCTCATCTGCTCATACAACTAAAAACTGGTTCTTTAGTGTCTACGACCCCGTGAGTGTAATATGAATATGTAAGGTCTCTATATATGTCAGTGTGCGTTACTATAGCAACCGCTCGCTTTTGGGCGGCCCATCCATCTACTTGTATACAATCATACACAACCATGAAAGATATTTTGGCGACTTGTGCTTCTAGTGTTTTGGACTGACTCTCTACACGTGCATGGCACATTCAACAAACATCGGACTATATACAAAGCTCAGATGGCGCATACAAGGAAGCACGCGTACCATACTGTGACCATGAATTCACGGACCAGGCTGACACTCCGTTTCTACCTATATGGGCACTAGAAACCTTGACGTATACACTGTAGACAGACATGTGTACATTCACAGCCCGCTCAAACGTACCTCCCAATTCGACATAGTGACCTTCTTCGATTTTAACAGCACCAGATTGGTGGACGCAAACGCGGCGTTGGCTAGACCATAAGCGTTTTTGACGTTCACGTGTTGGTTGATGTTACAAATCTCCACCAACCCGCACGTTTGGATACCATACGACTTGTACAGTTTAAGCGCGTCTGCCGCCACTCCGTGTCCAGCCTTCAGGATATTGGGTGTGAGGCAGAGCTGTGCAGTGCGTATGGGAGCGTATAGGAATGAACATTTGCGCTTAAGTGTACGGCTGAAGTAACTAGGCCTGGCTCCAAGGAGGTTTAACGTTTGTATACAAAGCGACTGTTAAATTTGGACCATGAGCAATCGAAGGCATGTTTCGACATTAATTTATAACTTCGCTGGGTTGTACAGCTGTTGCTCTGTCAAACGCGGACACCTTTGCGTTCAATCTTCGTAAATGCATATAATAAATGTATCCATATACTTCAACGCAATGAGAAGCGCATCACTGAACACGTAGCTGGAGATACACTCGTAGCTTCAGTTTCATACATAGATTCAAAATCGTGCCGAAATAGTTAATATCTCAAGAACTTACGAGCTGTCTATACAATCATACCGATCAGTCTTAAGTATTGAGCGTCAGTATGTGCAGAGCAACCTATGATTGACACTCACCCTTACACACATACGTACATACACGCACGTTCAAATCCATGTTGGTAACAGCATATATTTAGGGATAACAGTCACACATCCGCGCAAAGTTACCCGATCACGAAATCTGGAAGGCAATATATCATCTCATGTAATATCGTATTATATATCGTATTATATCATATAATATCGTATTATATCATATTATATCGTATTATATCATATAGTATCGTACTATATCATATTATATCGCATTATATCATATAATATCGTATTATATCATATTATATCGAATAATGTCATATAATATCGCAATATATCATATTATATCGTATTATATTAATATGATATCGTATTATATAATATTACATCGTATTATATTATATCATATCGTATTATATCATATTAAATCGTATCATGTCATATCATATCGTATTATATCATATTATATCGTATTATAGTATGATATCATAATTTGTCGTATTACATCATATTGTATCGTATTATATCATATCATATCGTATTATATCATACTATATCGTATTATTTTATTTCATATCGTATTATATCATATTACATCGTATTATATTATATCGTATCGTATTATATCATATTAAATCGTAATATATCATATCGTATCGTATTATATCATATTATATTGTATTATATTAAATCATATCGTATTATATCATAATATATCGTATTATATCATATCATATCGTATTATACCATCTCCTGCTTCATCAACATACCTCGTTCAGAGCCTGTGGTATTGACTTGAAGTGTGCAAGGTGAAACAGATACGCAGTATCCTGGAGCGACACTTGCAGCAGAGTTGGAGTTTCGTCGCCATGAGGGTACCACTGTGTATAATGAGCGGTGCAGATAAAGCTAAATAGGTCTGTTGGGGTTCTTAAATATACTACACAAATTGTCTTTCGAGACTTTGGCTGCTCTGCGTGTGGTGTTTCATATCAAATCTGAATAATGAAGTATAGCTTTCGGGAAATGAAATCAAGCTTTGTTCTCCATTTGTGAATCGGATATATACGGACACATCGGTACATCTGCCCAGAACCTATTGGTCCAATAATAGATAGTCAAAGAGGCTTGCGACAGCTCTACCCAATACCATGTAGCGCACACAAACAACACTATATATATATATATATCTAAATTTATATATATATGTGTGTGTGTGTGTCTCTGTGTGTGTGTGTGTGTGTGTGTGTGTGTGTGTGTGTGTGTGTGGTGGTGTGTGTGTGTGTGTGTGT